CCGTCCTGCGGGCTGCGCGGCCGGCCGTGGCCTGCCCCGGCAGGAGCCCCGGCTGTAGGCCGGGTTGGACGGGCTCCGCCGACGGCTCCTCCCGGCGAAGCCTGTTCCGTGTTGCGTAAACTCATTCAGAGAATAACTCCGGCGACGGAGGAGGGGAAGACCTGGCTTGAAGGCCCAAGTACGAACAGGCACGAGATCGGTGTAGAACGGTCCAGCGGCGACAAAACTGCAGATTTATCACTGCAAGTTTAGGCACTTGTAGAATTAAACAGGCTGATGTACTGTGAGCACTGGCTTGTTATTTTTGCCTGTCCCCTCAGCGCCGTAAGCCTAGCGTGTTTTTTCGCCGAAAGCTTAACTTTCGCAGCAAGAGCTTATTTTTCGTTCTCTCAGCCACCGAAGAAGGCTTCCTCCTTGCCAGTAGCAAGAAAGCGAATGGATTTTCCAATCCCTGATTATGAATTGAAATTCCAGTTAGTTTTCAATTAAGGGCTGAAGTTTTAAGACGCCCGGAACCCCTCCCCTCCCCTCCTCCCCCCTTCGGCATCTCGCTCTCCCCGGGAAGGATTAGCAGGAGTTTGGAAAATGAATATTGATTTACCGTGGTGGGTGCTTTTCCCCTTCTCCAGTGGAGGACTCAAACTCGGCTTCAGTTCAGGAGCGAATTGAAGATGGCAGCATACGTTATCGCTGCTCCTGAGGAGCTACTTATTTTTAATTGACTAAGAAAAGAGAAGCAATTAGAATATAGATGAAAATGCAGCCACGTAATGAACTTGTTAACCACCACTTGGGTCTGTCAAGTAGATTTTTGCGGCAGAGCCGTGGAAATATATAGCGTAGCCAGATGGAAATAAATCACTGAGAACACTTGGAGCAGATTTGACATTTAACTGTTGGGGGAAAAAAAAAAAAAGGAGGAAGGAACTTTTCTGATTTACAGGAATCTTGATAAACACTTAAGCCAGGGTCCTGATTATTTCTGTTTATTTATACCCACCGCGCTGCGCCGGGGAGGCGCATGCCTCTCCTTAAACAGAGGGAAATGCGATAGTCCCCTGGGTCGCGTACGTGTGTGAGCGAGGCTTGCGTAACGCCGCGGTAGCCGAGGACGACCCCTAGGAAAGCCCAGCGACCGGGGAAGGAGGAAACGCCCCGTCGCAGCGCGGGACGGCGCTACCGTCGCCTTCACTTGTGATGGCGGTTGCTTCCCGAGCGGCGCCCCGCACGTCGCTCGGGCCTGCTTGTGGAGGTACCGGGGGGAATAAAGGCAGGGGCACGCCCCAGAATACGGAAACGCCGAGTTCGGTGGGTGCTGCTGGGCGCGCTGGGGGGGAGAAACAATACTTGGAGGGTTGACCTTTCGCCGTTGGGCGTTTCTGGAAGCGCCTTTTGTGGCAGCGTGTTTCTGATTTATGATGGACGGCTCTTTTTTGCAGTCCGGCCTTACTAAGGCTGTGAAGGAGAGCAAAATTTCGTTGCAGCAAGCAGAGTACGAGTTTCTGTCCTTCGTACGACAACAGACGCCCCCGGGCCTCTGTCCCCTCGCAGGTAAAGTATGTTCTTTCTTAATATAAATGGTATCGTCCCTCCTGCAGCTGCCGGCTGGGTGCCGCGGGGCCCGCTGATGCACGTGGCGGGGGCGCTTTCGTTGTCTGTGCTGAGAGCCAGCAGGCAAATCAAAACCTGGTTAGGAAGGAGAGGTCCAGTAATGGCGTCGTCCATTCTGCAGGTTCCCTGAAGCAAGTACTGCACGTCATTACTGCGGGAAACATTTTGCATTGAATGTTTCCGCCCACGGTTATAATGGGGGCGGGCAACTTAACCGCTGGCAGCAGTCTGCGACCGTGAAACCCCAGCAGCAGGCCCGACGGCGTCTTTTCCTCGCTGTGTATGGAACCGAACGCCAAACGGGAATCTTCCAAACGCCCTGCTACCCGGGACTACGTTCGGGGCGGTCACGGACGGTCTTGGGACTGGCGCCGGGTGAAATTAATCCCGATGCCCGTTTCCACTTGGCGGAAGACCCGCCGCTTGCGTAGTACTTTGACGCTTATCTGCGTGACAGAAATTGTAGGGGTAGTAACTGAGGAATTAATAGAGGGATTACATATTTAAACCGCCTGCGATCCTGCAGCGAAGATCTGACAAACCTTCACGATCGTATTTACTAGAAAATGGGATAAACGAGCTGCTTGTGAATAGCTTTTCATAGCCTGTGATCTCTCCCCAGCTCGCTTAGCCTGCCTCTCGTTTAGATGTCGTTCGTAGTAGCTTTGTGATGTCTTTGAAGGAACATCTCGTTTTGTGTCTTTGCAGGTAACTCTGTTCACGCAGATAAGAAATTTCTTGACAAATACATGCCTCAGTTCATGAGGCATCTTCATTACAGGATCATCGATGTGAGCACCGTCAAAGAACTGTGCAGGTGAGTGTTCCCCAAATCAGGCAGTCCGACGAAAGACAATCTAGGGAAATTGTCCAATTCCTAAATTAGACAATTTAGGAATCCTAAATTCCTAATCTAGGAATTTAGCTAACGCGCGCTCCTCTAAAACCAGGCTAAAGGCTGCTTGGGAGGGGGCTGCCTGCGGCCACCTCGGTCTCTCATCTGTTCTGTTCGGGCCGATGCACAGGACGAGCCGTGATGAAGTACTCCGGCTCTGGAGGTTGCAGCACTTGACCCGCGGGGTTGTGGCTTCTCTGGGTGCCACTGAAGCCGAAATTCTTCCACCAATCGTAACAAGCCCGCAGCAGCCACCGGCCGTGTTTTTGAATCCCAGTTTCCTTTTTTAAGTGGCGCTTTTCCCCCCCCCTTGCTTACAGACGCTGGTATCCAGAAGAATACGAGTTTGCCCCAAAGAAGGCGGCTTCTCACAGGTGAGGCTTCTAACTTCTGTCTGTGGCGGAGCGGGGCTTGTCACGCAGGACCCGCGCTCTTCGCGAGCAGAATACGGAGCTTCCTTTGAACCCCAGGCGTGCTGCTTCTGACGCAGACGACGGCGGAGGCTGCGCGCTTCTGCTCCCTGTCGTACGTTTGCGTTCTCCCGCCTGAAGCCTGGTTAGCCTCGGGGAAGGGATTATTGAAGCACGGAGGTTTCCTTATCTGTTCTGGTTCACTTTGTTTACTAGTCAAGGCAAGAAGCTTATCTGTAGCTACCCCTGCCACTTCTTAGACGTCACCGTGAGAAATCGCGTGAAAACGGCAGCTTAAGAGCGGGTTTTCTCTGTCCTTCTTTTGGGCAGAGTTGTTCAGAGAGACACTAAAATTGGAAGGCTGCAAGCGGGGAGATGAGAGTTCCGTTCCTGGCTATTTCCCCGAGTTCGTAATGTCTCGCAGAGCTCCTTCCCCTTGCGGTGGAAGGCTTTAATTCTGAGTTTAATTTTGAGAAACGCGCAGTACGATTGCTACTTCTGTACAGACCTTACTGTCTGAGCAGGCAAAACTGGCCGAAGCAGGAGCTGAAAGCCGGTCTCCGGAGCCCTCGTCTCTGTTGTCTGGGATGGAGTTGCTTTTCGTAGTCGAAGCTGTAGAACCGGTTGGTCTCCAGGAGCTCCCGTGTCCCACGGTGACGTAGACTAATAAGCTGAGCGTTACTCCCCGGCGTGTCAGCGCTGGCGGACTTTCACTGCTTTCCACGTCCCCGAGACTAGCGAGGGTTGTTGTTATTTCTGACAGACGTGCGACCCGTGTGTGTCGGAGCTGGATTTCTTACAGCCTGGAACTTTTCGGAGGCGTTAGAATCCAGGCGTAGCTGAAGGCGTGCGCAGGCGTTTTTGAAACCCTCCTTAATTCTCTTTCAGAGCGCTCGATGACATCAGGGAAAGCATCAAAGAACTGCAGTTCTACAGAGATAGCATCTTCAAGAGGAAAACGGATGAGAAGAAAAGGAAACTCATAGAGAACGGAGAAAGCGATAAAACTGCCAGCTGATTTCTCCTCTTGCCATGCCATCCCGTGGCACCTACTAGATGTGTCTCCCGGTTCTCTTCTGTTTGCCAGTCTCTTGAGAAGCTGCACCCTTCAGTTACCTTGTTTCTTAACAGCTGTTAAAATGCAGATGGGAGCCCGAGTTACTGCTTCTTTTCTGTTTGAGCAAGGAACCGACACGCTCGGGTCTCAGCAGCTTCTTCGTTTGTACGTACTAGGTAGAACACGCTGTTTGATACTCCTCTTCATCTGGTTTTAGATGCAGTCTTTCACTACACAATAAAAAAACGGTTCTGTTGAGCCATGGGTGTTTTCGTACAGCCTCTCTTTCTCTGCTCGCCGTCGGCCGCGAGGCGGAGCGGCCTCTCGCAGGTTTGCGAAAGAAGGCGCTCTGGGGAGCCGTTTTCCTTGGGTGGTAACGGCGCGGGCGCCCGGCGCGTTCGCGGGCGTTCAACTTCTGCGCGCCGCCCCCGTTTAGGAACCGGCTCAAAGCTGCAGGTCAGCAGGCGCAGCCTGCCCGGTGTTAGGCGCTGGTCAGGGCTACCTGTCTCTGCAGGCAGCGCCCTCTGCTCAGCGACACTGTTCGGCACGTCGGGAGTTAGAACGAAAGCGTTCCTAAAACGTCCTGCTTACCAGCAGAGACGGCGGCGGCGCTCGATACTGAAAATCACGCGGTGGAGCCGGTAACCGCACGCGCAGCAGGGACAACCGTGATACCCCAGGAATCCGTGGCGCAAGCGTTAGAGCTTTACAAAACATTAAGCTCCTTGCTAATGGAAACACCGGTGGGGAAGGGTCTGAAGTGCCGGCCCCGTACGGCAGCGATGGCTGAAGCTGTCCCCCCGCCGGCTTGTCCGGTCACGGGGGACGTATACATTTTCTTTAATCGCGTAAATACAGTGGCAGTGGCTCACGATTGGAAAGAAAAAGCCTTGCTGAATAGGAGGCGGGGGAAATCGGGGAACCCTCGCCATGCTGCCTTCCCTTTTGCTTCTGGTCTTGGCAGCAGCGGACCGGGATGGGAAGAGATGCCACTAGAGGGAGACGCCTGGGTGTTGGCCGCAAAAGTCCCTGGGCACAAGCGGGCGAGACAGACCAGCTAGGAGAGGCTGCGGCCTTTCGGCAAGGGGCTTTCCCCCCGACTTGGGTGAAAGCGCTGGCAGCGTCTCTGCGAGCTCCGTCAGAGGGAAGGTCGAAACGCGGCCGGACGCCCCTTTCGATTGTTAAATCGCCGAGTGACCTTGGACAAATCCCCCTGCACCAAAACGTCCTCATTTCCCCCCCTTTTCAGTTCCACTTACGGCGTCTGGTATTTCCATCGCCCCCTCGGCAGCGCGAGTGAATAGGCTGAAAGCTCTCTAAGCGCCGTACAAGCTTTCCTTGGAGTCACGCCGATTTAATGGGAGCGTTTCCGCGCTCGTCGAACCTCTCTTTGCGCGTCCGGTGTTTCAGGACGGAGCCCGTGGCAGCGGGTTCGCGCTCTGATTGACGGGGAGGGGGACCCCCGGTACAACGCGGTACAGCGCGAGCACACCAGCAGGACCAACTCCCTTTCCAAATAAACGCCTCCTGCCACCTTCGCTCGGCCGCCTTACAAAACAAGTCACCTGTTCCACCTCAATTCATCAGAAACGGAAAGAGCGGGCGATGCAGGAGACGCAGCTAGCCCCGCAGCTGCCGGGCCCTGAGAACAACAAAGGTTCCCCTTCGGAAGGTTCGTCACGTACGACTACGTGCACGACCACGGACGCGACCGCATACAGGAGGAGAGGCTCTGGAGGCGCTGCACGGGTTGCGACCCCTCCCTGGTGGGACACAAACAGGCTTTTCCTCCCGCTACCGGTGTCGGCGCAGCTTTTCACATCACCACAGCCGCCAGCTAAATGCTCATTGAAGAACCGCCACCGTCAGCGATAAGCAAGTGAGTCTTGTAAATCCCGGAGTCAGCTCGCGGGTCCGGCCGGAAGAAAACACCCTGCACCTCGGAAACGGAGTAAGTTTTAGCTAAAGGCACGGTGGACAGAAAGAAGCACGTAGCCCCGTGTTGCTTTTGGGGAGCCGTTTTTCAGAGGAGACCTCTGTTTCCCTCCTGCGGCGTGCCCTCATGCAGCAGCACGTGCCACCGAAACAGCACGAGGGGGGAAAAGATTATCACGTTTACCTTCCCACGCAGAATGAAAACCTGACGCTTTTCTGCTCGGACCGTGTAAGCAGCGTATGTTTTACATATTGGCCTTTAACAAGATCATGTCGTGAGCCATCTGAATAGAAAAATGCCCTTTCATACCTTGCAGACCTATTTGTAACACCACCAGTATCTTATCTCCCGTGCACGTGGCAAAACCGCCAGATTGCCGCCGAGACGCACTCCGCATTTTAGTTAGATGGGACGGTCTGCCGACCCCCCACCGACGCCTGCTCCGGGCTC